CGCGGTACTACTGGTAAAAGATGCTACCCATCCACCGGTTTGTTTCAGTGACGATTGGGACTCGCAGATCTGCAGGGGATGGGGCCGGTCTGCAGGAGGCTTGGCATCAAGTGTAGCTTGGTGCAGCAGTGGCAGTTCCTTTTAGACCTGGAAAACACAACTTTGAAACGCGCATTTTGTATGTTTGAAACATGAGTTTCATTTAGTTTTCGAGGACGCAATATCCTTACTGCCATTTTTTATCAATTTGTTTGTGCAATCTAAATTCGTGTGAGGTAAAAGGCCTATTTTCTTCTAGTTGCATGTCTCTTTTCATTGTGGCTCTGTGAATGCATCACATAGCATAGACAATGACAATCATATACAATCATCACAACCGGTGAAAAACAAACCTCCGTAGAACTTGGATCTATTGCTTTGAGATTGGGACGTCCACGTTTTTTTTGTTTGTTCGACTTGCCAAATCCCCAAACTGACAGAAGATTCGACTGGTGGAATCCTTCGCATTGGTTAGGTTCAAGGGAAAACATACAGGAAACATCAAGAAACCATGTGTTCTATGTGTTTCCCAGTAGTTTCTGAGTAAAGATAGTGGGTTCCTGTAAGGTTCACCTTCATCCAATGATTTCTAATGATTTCTACACCTCTGGTATAGCCGGATGAGGTACACTCACAGATGTGTTGCCCAAGAGCAGAGCTGCTTGTTGCTGCCTGGAGATCGAGCCGAGGTTCGGCTGAACGACGACAGACGTGGTATGTACATGGCAAGCACGGCATCAAGCGCAGTAAAAACATGGCAAGACGTGGTTGAAACATGGTAAAACATGAGGATTTTAGAAGATTTCATGAGCTAGTGGAGATCCAGCACAGATGGATTTATGGTCGGGCACGGGATTTGTATTCAGACCGTCAAACGATCTGAGTGAGTCATGTGCCACTGTCATAATCGGAACGCCTAGCCGACCTTTTGTTTGCAGATGCACAGATTTTGATTAATCCGTCAAGCTATATGCGAGGCATACATTGTACCAATAAAGATCATCGGTTGTTGAGTCCCTAAGGTTGGGTTCATTTGAATCCTGTTGCTTGATGTTGATGGCTTTGTCTATATAGTAGCCCCAAATACTACCTGATGTGTTTTTTATTTTTAATTTTGTATCATGGCATGATGCAACATCAATTGCAATGGTTGTGTCTAAAATCATACATGTTTGATTTTTTTTGCGGGAATGCTTCAATTTACAATATAGACACTTTTACTATTACTATACACAATATAGCTAATGCTCAGCTCATCATCAGCCTATCAAAATGACCCAGATCCATGGGGATTGTCCGCGTTTTTGAGGCATTTCGTTGGCTCTCAGCCATGACCAACTGGTTCCTGGGTAACTTGGAACGATCGCCACCTCTGGCTGGAACTGGTCTCATTTACCCATGGTGTGACCACTAAAATCCGTATCCGAAGAGCAACCGGTTTACAGATTACAGATAGTATATCATTCAAAGATGTCATCGATAATCGTTACAAGTTAGCAGCAATAACATGTTTATTATTGATATGTCTACAACGTGGTTGTTTGTGTTTGGACCTCAGGCTGGTCGCGCAATAATCCATGCACCTAACATCCTTAAGCCATTGACAGACCAACTGCTTCACGAATGAACCACCTGAGCATATCCATCATCATTCTATGGGTGTGTCTCAAAATGGTAGATACCCCAATGTCTACCTTTTTCATAGGGAAAATGATAATAAAACATTGATTATGGGGAAAAGGTGGGAAAACCTAGTTTCAAACAAACCCAAATGGGTTTGTTTGATACGTGCTGCCCCTAAATCCAATGATCGAACATGATTCCCTATATTTCCTTCAAATTGCCATGTACTGTATATATTCGGGGCGTGCCCCATTTTCAGACAACGTCATGATGGGCGACGCCATGTAGTAAATCATGTAAATTCACCCTAATTGCATCTAGTTGCCACTTCACTGAGGCAAACGTCCAGTGGAGTTGACGTCTGAGGCTGGGTGTTAGCATGTAGGGGAGAGACTTCAGACCGATATTTTAGGGAGTGGAACACCTCCATCCTCTAATAAGTTGTAACCCCTACTGGTACATGTTTTTTTTTGGGGGGGATATTTCGGATATTTTGGCAGGTGCTTACCCATAAAAGGTTGAACCCCTCCATGGTTTGTCTTTAAAACCGGAGTTTTGAAGGGAACTAACAGGTCATTCGTCTTTGGAGCAGGAACCCTTCTGGCTGGTGATTGAGCTCAACGGCCAGAGCCTCAGGTACCTGAAGGTACCTCACAGGTGATGGGAGTGACGGAGCACTTGACAACTGTGACACTGTCAGGTCCCATTCACTGAATTCATTTACTGTAATTCAATGCAACTCATACTGTAGTCAGTTTCTTTGATCATTTGAAATGTTCATTTTCAAGGGTATTTAAGAAAGGTGCAGTAGGTTTTTTTTCATACCTCCTGAAAACTTAGCACTTTTAGCACCTTTCTGTTGGCCCACTTCCAAATCGCAGTCGCTTTAAGACCAACAAATCTGCTAAATCTCCCTGAATCTATGGGAACAATGGGCTTGTTCTGGCTGGTGGTTTCAAACTTTTTTTTTCTGGATGTCATTCTTCCCATTGACTTTCATAGTTTTCAAAAAGGTTGAAACCACCAGCCAGTGTTGGTTGGTTTATTTAGAACTACGAATTCTCTACTCAAATTTGGCTCGTTTGACTTGTGGTGCCTCAACCAGCTTGAGGGGCTATGGGCATCGTCACCAGATGGAGCCTTTTGTGGCCATTCGTAGCCCATCAAAATACGACTACAAAGATCGGAGATGATCCCTGGGGCTGACGTTGATATCTGAACTCTTTCGCTGTGAGGCTTTACCATTTCTGAAATTTCGTCAAATCTTCGGTTGGAGAGTTGTCAAGGCCCGACCCCCGTGTCGAAGTGTGATCCTGTGGCGGCAAGCAAAGGTTTCAGGTCTTCACATGTCCGATTGATCATGAAAGCTGGTTTATGGTTTTGATGATTTTGTATTTTCAAGCACTCTGATCCTGAAAGAAAACGATAATATGTATGTAATCATATGTATGTAGATAACATGATATATGATATGCACCACATGACAAAAATATGAAACTGGCGCATCCTCCAGTCTCGCTCAGTGATTCCCCGCCCTTGCCAAGCACGTCTCTTTTGACGAAGCCACCTGCAACTACCTGGCCAATCGCAGTTTTCAACATGAGCATCTGGGCAATGTGTGCCTCAGAACTGGGGCTATAAAGATATAAAGTGACTAATAAGTGACTAATAAGTGACTAACTTCTGGTCGAACCAGTTCCAAGTTAGTCACTTTACATCAAACTAAGTGGGAAAAGTGGCTAAGTGGGGTCTATACCCCATGACCCAAGCCCTGCCAGGTTCCAAGGCGCCGCAGACACTTTGGCCCGGTGAAAAGTGACCTGCGGTGGGGACTTGGAGGATCTGCCAGGAATCGTTCAGTGGTTTTAGTACCTGGGGTTATAAGTTATAAGCCACGTTTAAATGGGAGAAACCCTAGATATAGGGTTAGTATCATACTAACTACCCTCTGGTAAACGTTTACATGACTATGGAAAATCACCATTTTCAATGGGTAAATCCATTTTTTCAATGGCCATTTTCAATAGCAAACTGTTAGAATGATCCTCCAAGTAGCGCAGATCCAGTGCCTGTGGCAGCTCAGGTGTACTATGGTGTGCTGCTCAAAATGTAGTCTATCATGGCACTGGACCAAAAAGGTGTAAACGATCAGATTTTCCTCTCAAAATCAGAGATGTTCTGCTATGATGATAAATATTTAAGGTGTTTCAAAGGTTTACCCACCTTTTTGTCATACCTTTTACCACTTAAATAACCCTCTGGTTAAATTTAGCATAGCTATTTAGCATAGCTATGAAAAATCACATTTTTTCATCGGTATTATGTTTATCCTCACTGGGTAACTGGGCCATGGCTTCCATAGCTTCGAACTATTGTTAGCTGGTTTATCCATTTATTGATCCAATATTTATCCATCATTTATCCATTACATAAACAACCATTACCCAGTTACCTCTGATTGTTGGTTACCTCTGATTGTTGATAGCCTATAAATAACCAGTATAAACATTGTTAGTTGGTCTATCCATTATTGATATATTATTTATCCATTCTATTCCCATTACACACATGACCAGACCCATGCCAGGCGCCTCTTGGCGAAGGTGGAGACGCCGCAAGACTTGGAGTTGTCCCAGGTTGAGGCCCGACGGCGTGCGCTGACACATGGGAGATGGCTTGGGACCTGAAGAACACGGGAAGATCATGGACAAAAACACATGGAACGACTGACTACTGCATGGAAAAGTCCCAAAATTGAATAGTTATCATTAGTTAATAGTATGTTATAGTTTTCTTTAAACACCATTTCGGTTTTCAGAGCCACTTTAGTACCAGATGATTCCAAATTCTTGGATAAAATTACATAAACCGAGTGTCCTGTTAAGTTTTAGGAAGCACGTTATCCAAGGGACGCCGAAATAATGACTTGAATTGAATACACCATCCCTGGCAATATAGGAATTGTCATGCACGAGCTGTTGTGCCTGTAGTCAGAAGCCGTTCTCCACTACGGGGATGTTCCAACACAGAGAGAATAGAATGTCAACCTCCTTGACAACATGGAGTGGAACATTCACGTCTACCAAACTATGAAGGCAAGGCAATGAGGTAACCAGCGCACACTTTGCCACCGCTTTCCTCCATGACTGCTGGCTGAGGCCTCATGGTCGAAGAAGAATAATTGCCTTGAGGTGGGTGAAGAACTTGCCAAGATTGAAGATATCGTATACCTGGACCTCTTTTTTCGTCAGGATACAACATGACATGAGCAGCTCATGAGCATGAGCCACACTCATGGGGTATGCTGGTCACCCTGGAAGATCCTGGAAGTGGCTGGTCCCCATTTGTTGTTTCCCTTTTTTGACACAAATAACTTGCTACATCTTGCGTCCTCAAAAGTGCTGGTTGGCCTCTAAATGCACCATGTTATTATACAATGTTCTTGGAGTCCTAAAGTTTGGTAAACTGTTTTCATCCCATGACAAAAGTGACCACTGCCTTGTGCTGTCAATGGTTTGCTAGGTTGCCGGACCCTCCGTCAAGAAAGTTCAGGCGCTACAGAGCGAGGTTGACGCTGTTTGCTTTGAAACCAACACCTAAGGACAAGGTTTACTAGTTTATTGATTGAGGATCTACACTATATTTATAATCCGCATGTGGCATCTAAACGTATTGGCCGCATTTTACTTAGCATGATGCCTAGTTGTGTGGCCGATCAGTTCAACCAGCTGTCATTATATCGTTTGGTTGGTGGTTTCCGAGGGCTGAACCATCACCTTTTCCAAGGTCCCATTGCTGAGTTTTGTCAAACCTTGGGGTGAATCTCAACCATCATAACCATCTTTCACCAACCATGGTTAGTTTGAACACACTTCACCCATGAATTCATGTCGGGACGATAGGCATCAGATACTGCCTCGAGTATGGTGTATTGATTTACGGATATATTATTTTTCAGGAAACAGGAGTAATCATCTAGAATCTAGAAAACTCCGGGAGTAGTAGAGTTTTCTATGTATAGAATTCTTCCGAATTGTGATATTTGGCGATTTCTATGCCAAAGTGATGCTACCAGCACCAGCACCTGCCTCTTCATGTCCTATCAACCATACGGCCCATGGCTCTCCGCGAATCCACCTACATTGACCTGGCAGAGAATGCAGAACGCCAAACAAGACTTATTCAAAATGTTGGTAAAGCAATGATAAACCACAATAGTAACAATAACAATAATAATGATAATAACAAAGAATATTCATATAATTTAACATATACATATGTATAAATAATGTATTTTATAATATAATGTTGGTTTAGTATTGCTTTACGCACATTAATTATGTGGTTTATACCATGACTTTGCCCTTCACATCCCAAGCCTTCGCCAACGCCCTTCGTCGCAGGCACAGCTGAGTCCATTCGTTGATCAGCCACTGGGCTCCAGTGTTTTCACTAGATTTGATTTGGGGTTAATAGAGATTAATGGAGGTTTATGATAGTTATAACTTATAACATGTTAAACTGGTTGTTTTTTGTGTGTTTTTGTTTTTTTCAACTAGATGTGGAGGTTTATGGAGGTTTATGATAGTTATGACATGTATAACTAGCTATAACTATGGGTGAACAAAAAATACAAATCGATACAACTGGGAAGCCCTAAGAAATGACGACTGTCCGTTTCTGTGAATGGTTGGTATTTTGATCCAGAGCTAGGTAGATATGTGCTGAAATTGGAACCCAGTGTTTCTCTGAGAATGGGCGATATCGCCCTAGTCAAATGGTTTTAAACCATTTTTGCCCCAATAGGATTTCCACAGATCAGAGTACAGACCATTATTGGACAAAGCCAAATAATAGGGTTTGTTAAGAGTACGTATCATTGATGAACCTCTTTTTTCACATTGGGTTTGGTGGATTTCATGGGGGTCGAGGTGGCTTGATCAGGTTTGGGCGGGGCTTCATTGATGACTTTTTTTCGGAACTTGTTGAAGAATACGATGGGAATAAACTGAAAAGGACTTTGGAGAAGTCAAAGTTTCAGCACCATGATTTCCTTACTTCAACAAATTTATCCGCACAAGTTAAAGTTTCAGCATTGTTTCCAACCCTCTTCCGCTTACATATTTCCTAGCTTCAGCACCCAGCTTCTCTTCCCACTCCCAGGTTGGACTGAGCGGCACGGAGTCCTGGTTTGTCACAAAGGGGATGATGCCCCGCTTCCCACGACACAGGAACCACGACTCCTAACACAGGCGTTGATTGGCCCTATCCACCTTGAGATTTGATGACTAATGATGAAAGACAGCACTTAAATAAAATCTCAACTTACCCGGTAAGTATGATGTATATATTTGGGGAGGTTTCGCGGTTTTTTGAGATTTCAACCCCTGCCGGCTGCAATTGGATAGCGATTTGTGCCAACTCTAGGTGCTTGTGGAGGATGGTCTTAATTGACTAACCCAGTAAACCCACTGCCATCAACCATCCCCATTCCATGGAAATGCCATCCCGTTTTTTGTGGTGCGATGTAGAAACCATCTCCAGTCATCGGAGTTCTTTGTTTAGCATGGGTTTTTCTAACCACCAGGATCTCGCCACTGAAATTGGCTTCAAATTGCGACTCTGGACCCCTCAGGTACTCTTCATGGACTTGTGATACTTGTGCAGCGCAGTAGTTCTCTGAGTCGATGGCCCCACCCTGGCAGCAAAAATCCATGGCGCCGTCCCATTTCTCACCAGCCAGGATGTACATAGTTCACCGATTTGGGTGTGTAGGTTTAATTACTATGGTTCACTGATGGTTCACTGATGGAACATGAAGTTACTGAGCTAGGTAGCTTTGATTGAATAGTTTTCAATTAAAAAAACATGAGAGAGAAACTTGGGCATTTCTCATTGAAGCACACGCCCTCATCGTGTGACCAACGTGGCTGGTTTGATCCTTATAGGCCGTTAGGACGTCCGACCCTGCTTGAAAACATGCCGTTAGGGCGTCGCGGATGGGACGTCACTGTAATGGCATCAAAACAGCGATTTGAAGCGATTGGTAGTCTGGTAAGGGTTAAAAATTGCAGACATCTGCACTTGCATGCTTGGATGTGTCTACCCAACAAAACACAATGATCACATTGTGGTCTGCCGGAGAACGGTTACTCGAAGAGATCCTCCGTCTATCTACCGATAATCGTTTGATGTTGTGTGAGATGTGCAGGACATCTCAGTTTGAGAATCAGATGTTCATGGGCTGTTCAGCGCATCTATATACTCTTGCATCATGCAAGAACAGAGAGCAGCTTGTTTTTCAGTATATTCCTCTAGGGGTTATGCCACCTCCGTAAAAATGGTGCGGCAGAGCTGATAGGAAGGAAGAATATTGGATATTGGGAGAAGTGAACATTGCCACAACCAGGTGCAACTTGATTTTTTGGACAAAAAAAACTTATGTCTACCTGGACCCTCCAAAAAACCGGTAAAAGTCCAAAAATACTGGGGTAACACATAGTAACACTATCAGGAACACAATGTAACCAGCATTTTTAAGGGTACTTGGAGGGTTGAGAGATACTCTGCAGCGGGGCGTTTCAAAGTTGCATTAGGCTCAAGAGATGCGCTCCAAACATGTAGAGCACTCACTTGGGACACCCGGGAAGAGCTGGCCGAAGGTGCCGAAAGAAGCTGAGATGGACAAACCCTCCTGCACCAGGTGGTAATATATTGGGATGCCTATGAAACCACTGTATATTTGTGTGGGATTGATTATATGATATATATATATAATGAGATGTTTACCATCTACCAACTGAGGGGCAGGATTTCTTCCATTCACAGTATGGGAATCTCTGGGATAATCTTATTGAATGGTTGGTTATTGAACCAAGATTTATTAGGACATGCAAGATTGGAATCTCCCAGCGATCAACGTTTGAAAGGTTCATCTATATAAGGTTGAAAACAGGGTCAGCACCAGTATTTTGGTTTCAAATCTTTGTTTTTCATGCCTACTTCAGGAGCCGATCCCCGCTTGATTATTCTCTCCTGATTGGTTGAAAACCACAAACAGCAAACGTTTAGGAGAAGTGCTCAACAGATATAGATGATATGGAAAGTGTTTCCATTCTGCTGTGCTTCTGCCTTTGTTGGGAGATCCTCTGAAACCCATCGACGTGAATGGACATCAATCTGCCGGAAATATTGCACGTATATAGATGTCCACAGTCCACCTGGCGTTGCAGTAAAGCCTTGCCACATTTATCTCTGGAGGCATCTCCCGGAGGCTTGCCAAATCCAGGGTGAGAGGAAATGTGATAAATGTGATAAAGTGTTTTGATCTAAAATTAGCTCGGGAACAGGTTGTAAAAAACTACACTCATTTTGGATACTTCCGGTTGGTATCCAAAATTCCTGATGACCTGATTGGAAGCATTCCCTATTCTTCCCACGTATGGTAGAGCCTTTCCAAAAGTGTGGATGTTGCGTTAGGCCACTCCATGGGTGCGATCTGTGGCCCTGACCACACTGCTGACAGTGGCCGTGGCCACACTGTGCTGGGCACCTGACACTTGGCTCATGATGCCACATTTGTTTAGTTGACATGTTAACTAGTGACTAGCGTGTATTAGGGTTTTCCCAAAATAGGGGTACCTCCACATATCTCCACATCATCCAAATCAGGCTATTTCGTATCAAACACATGGCTTTGGGGTAACGCCATTTTCGGAAACCTCCGTATTACGTTTTTTTCTTCTCGAAGTCTGTGCATTTGCCTGCATTTGCCATGTTTATGTTATGATTTCCCTGAACTTGGGTAAGATTTTATAGATTGTTCTGGCTTACTGTACCAATCAGGGATATGATCCCGTACTGATCCCATATGATGCTCCTTTCCAGGTGGCTAGGAAGGGCAACCCTAAAGGCCGAAGGTAAACAGGTCTACGACCGGAGATTTCCGGAGATTTCCATGAGTTCAGACCAGAAAAGCTGTTTCTGAGCCAACATGGAACAGAACTGCTTGGAACTGGCACCATGTTCAACCCCTGGCATCCCCTGGCACCCCCTGGTTGGAGTCCCTTGAGAGTTGGATCATAGTTGATTTTTTTGGTGTCCCAGTTGTCTCGGTTTCATGGCCAGACTTCATCAGGATTCAGCCCTGAATCAGCGGGATTCCATAGGATTCCATCCTCCAGCCCTGAAATAGCCAGATTTTGGGGCCCCAAGGACTGGCCATTGAGATATCTAATGGAAATGTGGAACCTGCTGACGCGGCCATTGTTCTGAAAAAATGTTCTCGGATCTGTCCGATATGTCTTAGTGACAATGGATGAAGACATGTTGAAAACACCATTTGAAGATTCAATGTATCAATAGCATTAAATTCAATAGCCCAATTGTAGTTGTTTTTTTGGTTCAGCGTGATTCGCTTTTAATCTCGCAACATGGCATGTTGCTTGTCCTCTCCTGCCATGACCATTCCACATTTGTTTTCGCCAAGGATAGACTGCAGGGAATTCGACGTCTACAAACCACTGTCTGATGCCGAGTGGGTCTAGTGAGTCTCGTGGAAGTTCTGACCACTCACCAGATTGTGATTGTTGTTGTTGTTGCTGCTGTTTATTGTTGCTTTTGTTTTTTTTTGTTTGCTTGTGTGTTGTTGTTCTTGTTGTTCTTGTTGTTCGTGTTGTTGGTTGTTGTTTGTTGTTGGTTGTTGTTTGTTGGTCGTTGTTGGTTGTTGGTTGTTGTTTGTTGGTTGTTTGTTGTTTGTAGATTGTTGGTTGTTGGTTGGTGGTTGTGGTTGTGGTTGTTGTTGTTGTTGTTGGTGGTGGTGGTGGTGGTGGTCTTGTTGTCGTCGTCGTCGTCGTTTTCAAAGGACGCCGGGGGTGATATCAAATTTTACTTTTCAAGGCTTTGATGAGCTGGGATGATAGAAGGATAGAAGTGGACACAAGCCCGTTGTTTCCACATGCAGGTTCTGCCCCAAAGGTCACACTTCGCATCCTCTGAGGCAGTAGAGATGCACCGTTACAGGTTACAGTTGTGCTTTATTTGAAACTATCGAAGAGTAAGCCGGATGCCCGGAGGATCAGATACCTCAGAGAAGTAGTTGTTGTTGACGCATTTCTGAGAAAAATAACGCTAGTTTTCAGATACATGAAAACATTGAAAAAGTAGTTACACATGAAACATTAGTTATAGCATGAAACATAGCTATTGCACCATTTTCTTCAAACAACTGTTGATACATTGACCTACCTGTTGATCATCTGTTGATCCTGATCATGTCGGACCGGTCCTTATTCCACTGATTCCACTGATTCCAGATGCTGCGACCCATGATGAAGCATAATTTTTACCATGATCATAGCAGGGAAACAATGATATAAATGATCATCAGGGATGGTTTATCATGATTTATCATGGTTTACCATCAGGGTTTATAACATCATTTATATGATTATATGATCATGATAAACCTGATGATGATTTATCTCATGTTTATCATCATGGATTTATCATCATGGATGGTTTATCATGATTTTTCATGGTTTATTGTCAGGAAACATCCCATTTCTGGACAAATCATGAGACATCCAGGTGGATGATAAATCCGAGCGCTGCAAACCTCCGCGCAAGCCTCCGGCGCGGCGGCTTGGAGATGGTGGGTCAAAAAAGCCTGGTTTTCATGGCAAAATGGTTGGGATCTATGGATGTTCATCCCTCTCAATTGATGATCCAATTTCAACCATGATTTCATAGGTGTTTTTATTTGTTTTGATACAGCTCCGATCTAAGATTTCATTGATCGCAAGTTTGGTCCAGGCCAGTTGTTGGTGTCTCCGGCCTGGCTCATGGACAAATGGAGGATGAAATGGGACATACCAAGCACTTGAAATGGCAGCAATTAGGCCGCGATCAAATCGCGGGGTGTCTGTTTTTTTTTTTAATGCCGTAAATCCATGTAAATCCACCGTGTTTACGCCGATAGTGATGACACTGATGACACTTCCCATGGGACGATCTCCAGTTCCTGCAACTCTTGCCCCTGGTATATGGCATACTATATACAGAAACATGTTACAACTATCCACAACTGGGGTTTGGGAGTTGACCTAGAGCTCGGAGCAACAGGGACCGTTTGACCGTCCAGCTTGGTCATAACTAGCCAAGAAGTCAGTAGGGCCTAAATGGAGTGATCCCACTAAACAACTGTGTTATCATGGTTTAAGACCACAATTAGTTTGGAGAATCAGATGATGATGCTCCCCACAAATGATGGTTGATATTGAAGATATCATTTGAAATGCCCCGTAGATGTGTCTGAGATGTATTCTAATTGATTACACCTTGTCAATGTCGACGTCAGCTTCCGACTGGCTTCTAACTTGCATCCTTCTTTTTGGTTTCTGCGCATGGTAATTCCTAAAATGGCCTCCTCCCATCACTTGCTGGCGCTGGCTGAACTGTACAACTGGCTGGCGGTGGTATTTTCTATCCGGAGATGATGATCCCAGCTGATTATAACATGTACATCATGTACTCTCTGGGAGCTTGAACAACTCCAACTCCCAGAATTGGTTGACCGGAGAATTTCATGAGAATTTCCAGGTACCCCACTTTGTTTAGGGATAGGTTCAGCATGGTTTCCTTTCCAAAATCTTTGCCGAACAATCCAATCCAGTGAGCTAGATAGCCTTTGGTAATCAAAGATGGCGTGCTGGAAAATCCACCATTTATATATTTTTTCCCATCAAAACCGTCAAAACCTCCACGTATCAAAATTGGGAATTTCCAGATAGCCACGTTTGATGACACCGGAGGGTATCTGGTTGGTGGTTTCAAACATGTTTTATTTTCCATAATATATGGGATAATCCTTCCCATTGACTAATATTTTTCAAGATGGTTAAAACCACCAACCAGGTATTATATTCAAACCCCTAAAAGGGGGAAAGTCATCCATGAACAGCAACCTCCAGAACTTTGGCACAATCTTCAGCCTGGACCCAGCCGGGAGCCTGGAAGATTTGCAGGAACTGCACATGGGAACTGATGGGCTGATTTATCAGTTAATGTCATCATGAATCGACCATTTCTCGACTTTTTTAATGGGTTGATTTCAGGTGATTTATACTGTATCATTCATCACGCATTGACAAATTCTCAGTTATTGATCTGCTAATTTCATCCAGTTGAATCACATGAACAGGTAAGTATATAACAGACATGTTGGTTTCGTTGGTCTCTGAGCAATTGCGGGTAAGAAAGCGACAAAGGATGGATTTGACCAAGACCAAGCGAGAAGTGGATTGGACCAACAAACAGGAGTGAGGGACGCCCTCAAAAAACGAGGACAATGCAGACTCGGGAATGATGGTTCATGGATGACAATACTGAAACTTCCTGTAGTGCTGGGGTTTAACTGATCTGAATGATTGAAATCCTCGCATTGAGCTGCCAACATAAAATTATCCGCAAGGGTACAGACATCTCGATGAATTTGGCTTGCAGATTGCAAAATATGGTTAAGACTTAAAACACATACCACATATGGGGTGATGGTCATCATGATGATCATTTGCTTACCAGCTATTTTGATGTTATCAGTGTACTGATTGACTTTTGACCCATACCCATAGAACAGCGAAGAAGAGTTTTCAGAACCTACTAATCAATTGTTGGGTATTGGTCCATAATTTTGAACACATGTTGATCCATACTCATCTTTGCACCCGCCCTTTTCTTAGAGCAGCCATCAAGATTCGTCAGAGCGAGCCGCCATGCGAACTCATTCTACAGATGAGAGAGAGGTGGATGCAAGGGCATTTATGCCACTGGGCAAATTATGGTGAGCTCACCAGAAACGATGGTTGGGATAAACTATCACGGATGGAAAAGAGCTTATCAATTGATATCTCAAGAGTGTCAAGTTTCAGATTTACCGATTTACCATGTTTTTCCTTATGATTCTTTGATCCGATACCCCTAATATCAAATACCTCCATATATGTCCCCGCAAATGAATAGGTTCAATGCATTGGAGGGTTTCGTTTGGGGGTAAACAACGTTAGTGGTTCCCCACCGACAAAGTTGTTCATAAACACGCTTAACATCAATTGAATTAGATATAGAATGATATAGATATATCATATAGATATATCATATCTGCCATATGTCTACCATATACCTACCATAAACCCAAACGTGAACTTCGCCGCCAGCTTAGTTATCTAGGGGGCCCCACCTGCCGGGGGATAATGTGTGTCAGGTGACGTCCTGCAGGGTTGAGATCCCTACTGGGTGGAGCAATCTATCGAAATCGAAGCCTCCGGCGAGGTGGGGATAGATCGAGTTTCCTCCGCCAATGTTTCCTGAGTCATGGGGGTAGCCCTTTATCATTCATTTGTCTCAAGGATTTTCAATTATGAACTAACCATTTTGATCCATTTTGGGGATCCATTTATCGAAACTCCCAGATGTTTAATTTCATGGGAAAATTGATGATTCATCAGTGAAATGGCCATGAACGACGTCAGGCAGTGGCTGCATTGCTGGATCACGTTTATGGTGGTGAACCCGACATCACACTGGCCGGTGCTATTGAGTTGTTGAGGGTTTGGGGTCTTCGGGGCCTTCGGTTCGCTGGGTAGATCACCAGCCCAAGGCGATGTTCTCTGCGTCTCTGGGGCCATCGAGACCGATGGGGACAGGGCCAGTAGGGCTGTTGCTTTGCTGCGTTGAGCTCCAAGTCCAGTAGTGGTGTCAGTTCAAACATTTCGGACGGTCAGAGGTTTTCCATTTTGAGGTGGTCTTGATTTTTGTTGGGCTGAAACCACTTAACAAGCAAGAGCCTTGCCGGGATTGCTTTGATGGCCTGATGGTCTTCAAATAAGCGCAGCATTGGGACTGCACTTGGGACTGCACTTGGGGGCTTCGATTGAGGTTTGTGACAGAAAGTGGCAGGGTTTATGGCGGATCTGAAGCCTCGGGATGGTGACAACAGCTGGAGTTGCCTCTGGACCTCTTGATTCATGCTGAATCCCTCTACGTGCTCATGTACAATGGAAAAGTGTATGAATACGCTTTGCTACCAGCACTTGAACTCAAGTAGTCAGTTTGTTGCAGCTCATGTCCAGACAAAAAAAGTGGGGCGCAGCAGGACTGGAGCCATTTGCCATATCGCTCCGAAAAGGTCTGTGGGTTGTGAGATCACGATTCAGAAAACACGCAGTTTGACAAGTTGTAGAAGGGACAGGGGCAAAGCCTTCCCAACATCGCCAAGTTGTCTCCTCCATGGCCCATTTGAACACCATTTGCAGGCAAAGTGGAACGCACATACTCATACATTATATATAAGTATTATAATATATATTATAATCATATAATCATTATACAGTATATGAGAGTATATCAACATTCTGCTGAAAATCCAGTGGAAGTGCCAGCATTGAGGTCCAGATCAACTTTTGCGGTGAGATTCCTATGACTGAATTGGTGGGTACCAACACGCAGGTGCAACGCGCCATGGTGCAGCTGGGTGTTTGCTATTGTGTTTACTACTTGTTTTCGCTCCAACCCGTGTTTGTCGTTGGGTTATTTCCCTAAAGGCCAACTATAGTCAATGATTTTGTTTCATGAATACGAAGTATCAAAACCAACCCATTTTTGGCACTGTGAACATATTCATCAACATGTCAAAGGAATGATTGTTTCCATAGAGGAATTATCCCCAATATTTTGCTGGGAAACAATCCATATTTCTTGGTTCAACAACACCAAAATGGGTCTGGCTCAAAATTGCTGTACCAAGTGTGGTAACCTCACAATTTCTTATTCAAGGGATCTGAACATTTTGGGTGTAATCATGCAAGGTGGTGCCCCATAGTTAGCTAAGTTGGTTTATAAGTCCAATAACTATGGTTTATACGTGTTATATCTATAGTTAATGGGATTATAACCCATTCATAACTGGGGGGGCACCACCTTGTGTTGACCCACAAAAACATCTCGGCAGATTTTTTTATATATCTTCGGTCCTAAATCAGACAAGTTCGCCAAGACTGTGGGAACATTGGCCGTACAGATCATTTATAGTAACCTCCATTTGGGTGTGTCTGAAAATAGTGTACCCCTAACCCAATGGTTAATGATCATTATCCCTATGAAATGGCTATAATTGGGAATATACCCTATTTTCAGACAAACCCATTTCTGAGATCATGAGATCAATTGGAACCTTTCAGGGTGGCGCAAGAACGACCAATGAGCTGATCGGCGCACAGGTGAGCAGCATCTCCTTCTTAGCCTTGACTGCCACGGCCGAGGAGCGGTCAAAGATTGCGTGTTCTATTGAACGAGATGGGCTATTCAGATATCATTCCGTGTGTTCATAAGCTATATACTGTATGTATATATATATATATACACTGGTAGGACAAAAGTTGCGCTTGTTGAGCTTCCCACAGTGAACATGTTTGGCTTCTTCTTCTGCACACCCTTTCCCCGTAGAATCCTAGCATGGAGCTTTGTCGTACCCCGGTCGCATTTCCACCCTCCAAAAGCTTTAAAATCTTATATATTTAAAAGAGGGTGATAATTGACCGTCCCACACCTGCCACACAAAACGGACTTGAAAATGCGATCCGCGGTTGACCGACATGGATGTCTTGTAAAGCTTTCAAGAAGCATAAACTTTGTTCCTCCTGAAGGGTACGAAAAGCTTATTTAGTGGGAATTGCCACGTCATTTGCTGATTTTTGCACCTGCTTCAGCTTGGACATTACTCCACATAACATGTCTGTCTCCATCCTCTTTGTCTGCACTGCTACACATGTGCCGTGACGCAGGGTACGAAAAGCTTATTTAGTGGGAATTGCCACGTCATTTGCTGATTTTTGCACCTGCTTCAGCTTGGTCATTACTCCACATAACATGTCTGTCTCCATCCTCTTTGTCTGCACTGCTACACATGTGCTGCGACGCAGGGTACAAAAAGCTTATTTAGTGGGAATTGCCACGTCATTTGCTGATTTTTGCACCTGCTTCAGCTTGGTCATTACTCCACATAGCATGTCTGTCTCCATCCTCTTTGTCTGCACTGCTACACATGTGCCGTGACGCAGGGTACAAAAAGCTTATTTAGTGGGAATTGCCACGTCATTTGCTGATTTTTGCACCTGCTTCAGCTTGGTCATTACTCCACATAACATGTCTGTCTCCATCCTCTTTGTCTGCACTGCTACACATGTGCCGTGACGCACTGGTAGGACAAAAGTTGCGCTTGTTGAGCTTCCCACAGTGAACATGTTTGGCTTCTTCTTCTGCACACCCTTTCCCCGTAGAATCCTAGCATGGAGCTTTGTCGTACCCCGGTCGCATTTCCACCCTCCAAAAGCTTTAAAATCTTATATATTTAAAAGAGGGTGATAATTGACCGTCCCACACCTGCCACACAAAACGGACTTGAAAATGCGATCCGCGGTTGACCGACATGGATGTCTTGTAAAGCTTTCAAGAAGCATAAACTTTGTTCCTCCTGAAGTATATACACCGTTTATATTATGTTATCTTATATAAATATATATTATAATATATTATACATATTATAAATATTATTATATATATAATATATTATATATACTATATATAATAATATATTATACATATTATATATAATATTATATATATAGTATATATAATATTATATATAATATGTAAATATTATATAATTCCATTTAGCACATAATATAATATATATGATTATTATAAATATATATATATATTCTATTTAATATTTGTTTTTATGTTTTCTATAATATTTATAATATATTCTATTTAATATAATATATATATAGTATATATAATATTATATATAATATGTAAATGTAATTATATAATTCTATTTAGCACAAAATATAATATAATATAATATAATATAATATATATGATTATTATTATATATATATATATATTCTATTTAATATGTTTATTGTGTTTTCTATAATATTTATAATCTATTCTATTTAATATATATATATATATTGTATAACAAAAATATGTTATAATATAATAAATAATATATAATATATAATATATAAGATATATTATATAATATACAATATATAATATATAATATATACGTGTATAATATATCATTTATACAATATATATATAATATAATATATAATTTATACAATATATAATTTATACAATGTTTATAATATTGATAATATATTTAATATTTAATATATAATATATAATATATATATATAATATATATAATATATATAATATATATAATATATATAATATATATAATATATATATATATATAATACATATAATATATATAATATATATAATATATATAATATATATAATATATATAATATATATATATGTAATATATATATAATATGTATATAATATATATATAATATATATATAATATATATATGTATATATAATACAATATATATATATAATATATATAATATATATAATATATATAATACAATATATATATATAACATATATAACATTTATAATATAATATTTATATATAATATATATAATATATAATAATATATAACTATAATTTATACTAGATATAATTAATATATATATAATATAAAATGATATATATATATTAATATATATTTATATAAATATAATATATATTTAATATACTATATATATATATTAATATGTATATTTAATATTATATATATAAATAAATAAAAAACATATATGATATTGTTTAAGATATATATATATATAATATGTATATATAATATTTTTTTATCATATATTATTTTTATATTATATTATATATTATAATATTTTACATACCATATCATAGAGAGAGAGAGGGGGAGATGATTTTCCGCAGGTGGTGACCTTGGTAGAGAAAGGTGGCCCCATCTACCAGCTGAATGCGGCTGGATTCAGCCGGGGCAGGGTGGGCTGGGGATTTCATAAGGGCTTTATTCGGAGGTTTAACGGTGGAATGTCATGGGGTTTGATGGGGTTTGATGGGGTTTTAATGGGCATCTAAGATTGAAAGGATTTGACACAGATTTTGGGAAAGATCCACGCAGAATGGTTTGAGAATGTTCTTTTGGCTATTGAAATTGATATTTGTTGATGTCACCCCCTGGTTTGCTCCGGTTATCTCCTGCAGAAGCAGCAGTGCTCATCTCACAGATTAACAAACCCATGGTGGTGGTCAGTGAGCCCCCAAAAGTGATAAGCAACCATTGGCGATGGTACACCCCCGTCCTACTACTCAACCAAGGTTTCTTTGAACCCTGGATCAACAATCAATCTAACCAGCCAAATATCACCTCTTATCGGCGTCATAGCATAACCATTCTTAAACCACTAGTTACTAGCCAATCACTATTCAACCGCCATCCAACCACCATTCAACCACTCTTCAACCACCAAAAAGTGATGTGTTGGAGTTTTGGATCATCCAAAATGGGAGAAGAATTGACTACTCCAGGTGCTCTCCGATGGAGATCGAGCACGTTGGGACATCACTAGACCTGCGGCCGGAAAACCCAGATAGATTAGCGCTATAGCCGCGCCGCGAGGCTAGGGATGACGGGCCCCGTAGATTTTAAGCGTTGGATTTATGGTGGAAGCTATGTGAAATTAATTCAACAGTTGAGTGTGTAGCCTGTACTCTCTGGTAATCAAACATGGCCATTGGAATTCAATGGAATTCAATCATAATTAGTTCGATGATGTGCCAGCTGTAAACTTCCAGTTGGGTCGAGGATTTTCCAGCCATCTACGTTTTATTATCAGAGGATATACCTAATATTTGTTGTTTGAATGACAGAGAAACATTTTGTGGGGATGTAATGGGATTTATATAACCACTGAATATCAATGAATATGATCTATAATTTGGATCTGCCTGAGAATGGTGGATGCCTCAAAATTCAGAATTGCCGGCCATGAAACAATGGAGAAGATATGGGAACATGATTATTAAGCATAATGTTAATGTTTTTTTAATTATGTTCATCTATTTTAAATGTTCAACAAATCCATATATCGGGTTTTCATGGGTTTTCCAGATTAGATCTGGAAAGTGCAGTGAACAAAACCCAAGTGAACAATGCTTTGAGTGTTTTTTTAAACATGTTTTCACAGAATGTGAACACATTGGAGATGGATCGTGACGACAGTCGCGATTGTGAACTTGCTAGCTGGGACATGCCGGGATTCACTTCCTTGAGTGAGGTTGTGTTTCCCACATGTACCCTCTGGTGAACTAACATAGCAATGGAAAATCACCATTTTTAATGGGAAAATCCACTATTTCAATAGCCATTTTCCATTGCTATGTTAGTTCACCAGAGGGTATCTAGCCAAGTACTATTGTACGAGTTGCATTTAGTGGCCTCTGCTCCGACTAGCTGTTGACGTTAGTTTATATAATTTATATATAGCTTGAGGCAGTCACAAAATCTCAACAAGCTAAGTAGTACTATACAGATTATGTTGACCCACAACATTTGGGGAAAATCGCTCTGTCATCTCTCCTACTGTGCAGATTCTGCTTGGTGTCACGAATCATTTCAGGTCCGAACCTTTGGAGGGAATTCCTGTTTAGACTTCACGCAGTTCTGCCCGGACCCCAGAAACTCACAAGTCTTGTGAGGATGTATTCTACTTGGGGGTACATCTCAACTAATTAGTGGGTTAATACTCCAGGTTGATGTGGTAGATCATGATACATCCCATTAATCTATCGGCTTCATAAATCTCATCATTCCTACCCGCCCGGCCCGCGTAAGATCATTGATTTCAATAGGTGGCCCGTGGCCTGAGCTGCAGTCCCATGTTCCCATGTTCCCAGTGCCAAGCAAGGTCAAGTGTCAGAAACATGTTTTTGCTGCAATGTATAGCTTCATTGTTTGGTTTCATCATGTTTCATCCACTATAGTCACTATATTTCATCCAATTGTTTCTGTTAGAAATTCATCTAAGAGAATCAATTTATACCTTCATTGGTGGGTCTCCTCCATCTCGTCCATGTTCCATTGTTCCATCCCAAGTTTCTTACATGATTCATCCGAGCACTAGCCATCCAAGTTTCGGCTCTGGGTGCCATAGATTTTTCAATTTGCCAGCTGCGATTGAGGTGATATCACCCCATAAATTCCCATAAAAGTTGCAGAATCTCATGCACTCAACAGGGTAGTCAAGTGGCTAGTCTGCCTTACAGAGGCAAATCACTTTGGTCAAATTCTCAAAGTCATGGTTGGCTTATAGCCTATAACTATCTATAACTGCCATTGGTTGGTTAATAGTGGAAAATCAATATGGTACGTAATTAATGATTATTAAGAGTGGCTGAACTCATAGCCCCACATACTCATGATCCTCATAAACAAGTTATTGTTTACAATCATTTGTGGATATTTGTTCCGATATGTTTTCTCACAAGAAAAGTGAATTCCTAGATGAACATTTCAGAACATGTCCTGGCCGTTTCAGGTGAAGTGGCTTCAGTCACCCCTTTGCTGACTGGCTTCGTGGTGGTCAGGACCTTAGGGTGGTGAGGATGATTTTGATCGGCAAATCCTGTGGGATTTAGTGGATGTTATGTTTTTGTTGGGGGACGCCAGTTTTTTTTAATTGAATGCTCTGTGTTGTTCTTAATATAATCTTAATCTTTTCATAAGGTTTTTGCTGCTTATATCATCCCAATTCATCCATCAACTTTTGACGATTCTGATCATTTTGATTTTCCTCATTTCGAATAAAATAATCACAAACAAACACTCAGATGTTAGCCAGCGAAGACTGAGAACATAGTTATCATAGACAGAATTTCTGCATCTCATGTTTAACTAGCTGATGAACAATATCACAAACGGGACAAAACCAAGTACAAGACTCTTTGGTGCTTAGTACAGGTAGGGAATGGGGGAATGATCCAATCCATAACATACTAAATAGCTAGTTTTTTTTCGCATCGCATTCCCATCCATTCCCTACGTTTAGCACCAGTTAGTTGAAATCACTGGTGTGATGATCCCATTTGACGATTTTCCATGTTTGTTTTCATATGGGTGCCGCCAAACAGATACGTGAAAAATAGCAAAGTAACATAATAACATGGAAAAACACAATGTGAAAAATAGCTAGATTATCAAAATAAACTGGTGATTTTTCATAGCTATATTAAAATCAGGTTTATAGGTATCTATGTTTTACAAATCTGTTTCCATAGCTATATTTTCCATAAGCATATTAAAATCATCAATAAATTATATACTCGGAGCGTATCGCCAAAGATCCGAAGAAAAATCTTGTCTGAGGTTGATCGACATCGACTGCAGGAGTCAGATGCTCAGTTGCTGAGTCTATCGACATCGAACCCCAACTGGGTTGGTCCAGAAATGGCAAACAAAAACCATGTTATGATATTTTTGCAACATATGGAGGTTTCCAAAGTCAGGCGGGTAACCCTTGCATCATCCCGTCGTCATGGATGACCATGACTTAGTATACAGTAACAATAACCATGGTGACTTGGGGATCCGCCATGACTTCAGAAACCCCATATAAATCATTATAAATCATTATAAATCCGTAAAACCTGATAGGGAAAATGAGGACCCTAAAATCTCAGACTCGCCTTATAGACAGATACCAAGCCAGTTTCAAAAGCACGGCTGGTCCGGGAGTCGGGTTGACACCTTGGGCTGGGTCCATCTCAAAGCCATGCAGGTCATACACGAAGTTGCCGACTACCAAGTGGGATATACATATCATGTGTAGATGCATATTTTATCCTTTATCTCCATCTCTATATATATATACAAACACCATTATATGTATACACAGTACATCAGCACTTATTTTTTGAAGTTCTTCTAACCCAGCAAGGAATTACTAGTGGTGAGCTCGTTGTTCGTTGCGCTCGAGGTTCAATGTCTCCTGGGGAGAGTCTGAAAGCAGCGAAGTGGCCCTGAACACCATGGGAAAGATGAATATGGTACCCTGCCTCAGTGGGTGCGAAATTTGTGGCTTTATATATACATATATATATACAGATAGATAGATAGATTAGATTAGATTAGATTAGATTAGATTGGATTAGATTAGAGTAGATTAGATTAGAAAAGATAGATAGATAGATAGATCGATAGATAGATAGATACATAGATATATATATAGATAGATAGATAGATGATAGATTAGATTAGATTAGATTAGATTAGATTAGATCGATAGATAGATAGAGATAGAGATAGAGATAGAGATATAGATATAGATATAGATATAGATAGATAGATAGATAGACAGATAGATAGATATATATATATATGTATATGTATATACACATGGGATACTATAATCCCATTCTGGGATTTGAGCACCGTTGATAATAGGCTTCACGGTGATATTATGGGATATATAATCAACACATTCATGATTTGGGTTTGTTTCAAAAAACTGAATTTACTCAAATATGGCGGCTTTGGTACAGAAGCTGATGATTAACCAGTGGATGGAAATGCGGTACCATATTTTGAGACAAACCCAAGCTCTGCTGAGCAGTGTTGCATAACCCGATTTTGTTCTGGTATGTTGGTGAATTTTATTGGGGATTTATCACTATGTATGATTAAAGTCCAGGCACTGTCCAATACCGGGATGACTGTGTAGTAGTCTTGAAAAGCATAATTATTATAATATTATAAGGGTATCGTATCCTGGTGGCTCAGCCCCAACCAGAGGTTCGTTGCTTGTGAGGTTGAACCCTCTTTGAAACTTTCCAAAATTGGTTCAATGGAATGTCAGAGACAGTGGTTTGCATTGGTTTCCGGAAAAGAATTGGTCAAACAAAACTCATGAAACTGTGATTCCAAAAAAGTACAGTTTGCCTTTGGCAAAAGAAACTGCAAAACCTCGATTCCTGGGGGAGTTTCCCCTTTCAGAAGTTTCTACTTGGTGGGCAAAGGATTCCATGTGATTCTAATCACAGACAATCTACGCTATATTCACGTAGACATCTACCATAAGAATCATGGATTCAGTTAGCAAAAGGTACGGTTAATGCATAAGTAAATGGGATGGTTCCACAAGGTTATTACCCATATCAATTAGTGTTGTATAACTGGTTGGTGGTTTCAAACATTTTTTATGTTCCATTTCATATATGGGATGTCATCCTTCCCATTGACGAAATCATATTGTTCAAGATGGTTTTTTAACCACCAACCAGTATACGTGACTGGATGGAATGTAGTCATACACTTTGTCCCGGCAAACATCTCTGCCGCCAATAAAAAAACAGTTTAGGTCACCCAAAAAGGGGTATACAAGGTTATGTGAAACCATAGATTAACCTACATAATAAGATATCACAATATATCATATATATATACTGTATGTATATATATACAAGGTTGTATAAAGTATTATAAAGTTGGTACGTGTTTGCATTCGTCATATGTATCCGATAGCAAGTTGATATGCCATACACTGAGCCCCCAGCCACTGAGGAAGCACCGATCCTGCGCTTGGAGCTCAAATGCGTGGGTAAGTTGGTTCACTGGGGATGTACGACTGTAAGGTGATACACTATGTATATATATACATACATATACGTAACTATATTACCGTATAGTATTATATATGTGTAATTCTATATACACATAATATCTATTATATGTAATTCTCTATATATATATACATATATATACGCATAATATGTATATATATATATTATATATATATGTGTGTTTATTGTGCGTACATAGATGTCTGTGATGCAATGTCGTGTCTAGTTGTGATCTAGTTGTGAGCTGCTAGCAGCTACACGCGGTCCGACCCCTTGTCGTCGTCGGGATCAAAACTCTGGGACCCTCGAGATCAAAATTTTGTTGGTAGAGCCGGATGCTTAGCCCATGGAGAAATCATAGTAGTGGTGCGGCCTATTTTGCAATTATGTCCACTTTTCATCACTTTCCACCCCCCCATTTTCTATTCATAAAATCCCTTTTTATTTCTTGGCTTAAACCCAATTTTGTGTTGGCTAACCCCGCAATTTTTTCTCGGTGAAGTCTGCCAGAGAAAACCAGCAAGCTGGCCTTGCTGGCCATGTCCCATCCCCACGTATCCTCGTATCCTCTCGCTCGCGACCTCGCAGAAGATGCTCAACTCTTCTTCCCAACCTACCTGGCTGTGTGCCATCCGCCGAAGGTCATTGGATGGTAAGGGAAACGATCTCAACATGGTCTTATTATGCTTTATTCCACTATCATCCAGGTAATTACATGTTACATATGATTATAAAAAAACAACGGTTACATAAAAATGGTAAAAACCATGCTAACGAACCATTAAAAACAAGAGAAGGAGTTCCTTAAGTCTTTTGGCTGCTGCGCAAATGGGTTGACAGATTCCCCAAGGCAGAACTGCACTGAGGGTTGCACAGGGTCACAAGTTTGCATCCCAGGTCGGGGAGAGAATCGAAATTCTCCCATGTTGTTTCAGATTGAGCGTTCATTGCTTATCCAGATTTATTCTTGTGCTTTTGACCAGTCCACTTCGAATTTTGTATGGCATGGTATACCTATAGTACTATTTGGATGAATTACTAGGACCTAGCTTGCCCTTGGTGCCCCGTAAGTTGATCGTTAGTTGAGTACCTCGCAACCCAAGATGACCAACGATTTCTGGTGAATTGATGGTAAGGTTAGTTCAAGTTGCTATTGGTGATGGTTAGTTGATGGCTAATTGATGGTTAATTTATGGTTAATTGATGATTAATTGATGGTTGGTGAAATTCGTCCAGATTCTGGATTGGTCATCTGATTATTTTGCCCACTGAAAACTCAGACTGAAAACCAGCACGCAATGTCACACTGTCGTCACATTGACAGCATCTTGGCTCCACAGGTACAAATCTGTGAACAATACCCACATCAGTGATGAATTGGAGATTTCTCCGCTCTTTCCGCACGCAGCGGATCGCTATTTTTTTGTGGCAGATACAGGCGCGTGGGACAATTTCGCAGAGACATGGGGACTTGGTAAACGAGATTGGTTTGTCGCAAAAATGGGGGATACCCAAAATATGTTTCTAGTGGGTTCTAGTGGCTTAGTCTCTGATCATCCATTTGATGTCGGGGTATCCTATTTTCAGATATACCCAAACAATCGGAAATGCATGCAAATAATGAAGTCATTTCTGATGATCGCAAATAGCGCACGCATTGTCGAAATGTAAAAGTCGGAGATTGCATGTTGTCGGAAAAAGGTTCATATTGGCTTCAAATTGCCTAACATGTTGCGTGACAAACCGTGACAAACCGTGACGAACCGTGACAGAAGACAAAAAACTATACTTAAATCTTGGGCATTGTCGGAAAACGCCGTGACAGACCGTGACAAACCATGACAAGGTCAGCGGCTATTCCCCATAGACTGTCGGAATTTATCGGAAATCAATAACTGTCGGAAATGCATGTAAAAATATGTAAAAATCATGGTCAGACCGCAAATAGCATGGTCGGACGCTCTGAGAGCGTGCATACCCAAATGCATGCAAATAGTCCATACTTTGGATCCTCGGGGAATTATACAATTGGTTATTTTAATGGGAAAGTCGATGACAATCTGTATGACAATCCATGATATGTTTGGTTTTCCCAGAATTTTCAGACACACCCCACCCATATATTGTCTTGCGGTGCGGAATTACTTATTAGCTGCAGCCCATTGGTGATGATACTGGTGGTGCCCTCAAGTTGTAAGTTCTATTACCAATCCATCTATCATCTAGCTATAGGTTTATAAACCCTACTTGACCTAGGTATAGAATGGTATAATCCAACTTGGCTATGGGGCACCACCTTGCAGTATGACCTGTTGACCCGACCTTCAACATGGTGTTGGAGACCTCCATTGGAGCAGTTGGAAATCCTCCGGCTTCACTGTTGGTCAGGTCATCACCGGGTGATGTTCATCAACGCTTCAAGCCATTCCAGCTTGCAGTACATCGAATCCTATGGTGTCATGGGGGAGGCTGGGAGGCTAGTGAATTGACTGGAGAGTTTCGGGAAGTTTGGAAAGGATATATGTGAAATATGTGATATGTGTTTAGACTATGTCTGGAAATGGGTAAGAACAGACAAACGATTAACGTATTTTCATGGGGCTCCGAGCACCAACCAGGGCAAGGTGTCGCAGTATCGCATTTGCAACTTTGCGACGTTCAATCTTTGGCATTGGTGCTGTAATCACTGTAATCAGTGGTATTCCATGGTATTACGTATTATATATATATATTATAATATATAATTATATATAATTTATATATAATATATATATATAATTATAATATATATATATAATTATAATATATATATATATTATAATATATATATGTAAATTATATATATATATATATCATATCATAACTCGAATCAGTACGATCACGTGTGAGTTCCAACAGAACTAAGCCAGTATAGGATGATTTGACAAAGCCAGTGGTAAATGGAGGCAGTCCTCAGGTGCCCAGCTGTTCCAGCACGGTATCTTAGTTGAATCCCAGCTATTGAAATGGTCCTATATATAGATATGGATGCTGTTGCATTCATATGTTGAAGAAAAAACACTAGCCAGTCCCAGGTCTCATTGGAAATCTTTAGAATTTTACATCTGTAAAATTCTATAAACATCTTAAAAAACAAAGTTCCAAACATCTAGAAAATCTAAAGCTGGACCCACGGTTCCCAGCCTGTGGCACCAGCCAGGCTAGAAGCGACACCACGGGTTTCAACTTTCCAATGGGACTGGCAGTCATGGTGCCAACAGGCCGTCCTTGGCCGATGGACTCTGAGTCGGCGATTTTTTGGTCATGGTCGTCGTGGATCAGCACTAAATGAGTTCATAATAAGCATGAAAGAACGAATCGTGTAGCCTCCACATATGTGAATTTCCACATAGTGAAATTGCCAAACATCCCTTTTTTAGTAGCTTAACTTGCCACATATGCTGGCCAAATGTCGCCATGTTTGGTGATTCTCTAGCCAGTTTTCATGGTGATGGTGATCACCAACCATTAGTTGTGTCGGACTTATGACCTCGGTGCTCAGATGAAAGCTTCTATGGCCTTGTGATGGCAGCAGTTTTCGCCTGGATCTTGGAGGGATCGGCCTTGACAACTTGATGATTGATGAGTAATGTAGACCTAATGCCATATTACTGAAATGATTTGGGGATTATGTTTACAAACCATTTCTGCTGATTATTGGATATTATTGGGTTTACCACATTAACAGATTTAAGAGGATGAGTTGTTTCTTTTGCTTTGCACTTAAACAAAATACGATAGCTATGAAACTATGTAGCTATGTCTCACGGCGATTTGTTCCACCACTGTTTCCCTGTGATGACGATATCATCTACGATCAAATATCATGTGCAAGCCACTTCAATATACTTCATCGTATATGTATAACTGTTTAAACGTACTGTCATTCACAGTTCATATAATCATCCTGGAGTAGATAGAACATGAAATCGTACCGCTCCCTACCGGACGATCATCCAACAATTTAACCCAGGCTGACTCTATTTTCATCAGGGAACACATAAAACCAGTTGCGTATTATATGGTTTGCCTCCTTTTGATGTTCATGCCAGTAGCTTGTTGGTAACCACACTTCGTAAGCGCCAGAATGCTCGGTTTCTTTGCTTGTCAATAACGGTACGTTCACTCTCTGTGCTGGTAAAATTTTGATTGCTTGATATTTCACCAGTTAGATTCAAGTTAATTTAATAGTAATTTAATTCTTAACCAAGGAATAATATAATATATACGTGTATATAAATATACTATATATGTATATATAATTATATATACATATTCATTGACATTTTTTGTTTTTGATTGTGTTTGATTCTAAAGCCATTTTTCAGATGCCAGTTGATATATACAAGAAGTTTTGTGCTCAGGTAGCAGATCGACGCAACAATCGCCTCGTAAAGCTACTGCTTGGATACAGGACCCGTAGCTGAATGATAACAGCTATGTTCATGTTAGTGAAATGTTCTACTTTGGCAAGATACTCTGTATATATGTATATATATGTATCTAACTATGCAATTATAGATACATACATGATCATATGTTGTTGCCAAAGTATACATAATATACGCATATATATATACTTATATATATAGTTTGCTTTGACATGATGCATGTACATAATTATATGTAAGGCGTAAGGTCTATGATTATATAATGAGAGCCAGGACTGTGAGGTGTTGACCTTGTGTGGTTGGTGTATACCTAGACCTTCCAAATACCACCAAAACATTTTATAAGTACTAAACTTATGGGGTAAACATAATTTTACATTTTACACACGGATGGTAATGGTAAAACGGTAGATTCTGTTTAGTCCCTTTTTTATGGCACCCTTTGAAGATCGGGCCACCTATTCAACCTATGCGACATGCAGGAGAGATCCAAGCCAACCGCAGAACAAGGGCGAGAAGTCGGGGCGACCTGGGTGGGATGAAAATCTGGCCTGGAAGCAGTGGTTGGAATGGAAAATTTACTATAAATGAGCGTTTAATGGGAGTTTAACGCGGGGTTAATGGGAGTTTAATGGGGGTTTAATGGGAGTTTAATTGGGGTTGGAATGATGACGCTAAGATTTGCCAGGAAATTCTACTATAAATGAGGTTTTTAATGGGAAAATCACCTGTAAATATGCAGTTTTCCATTGCCAAAGGAGAAACCCCAGAGCAATTGGGATGTTGACAACCACCAAGAAATCGAGAATGCCCGGCTGGGCTGGTGGCTAGTGGCGCAATTGTTGCAACCCTTGTCGTCACTGTTCTTATCATACTTACCGTCACTATTCTTATCATCATTATCACTAACATCACCGCTGCAGCCATCGCTATCATTGTTACTCTACCGGGAATGACTCAAAGTATAAATGCTACTCATGACTAGGTCTGCGGGTCTATTGTTACCCCGCTTTTGAGCCATTGCCATTTTCATGACAATCATGAACATGTTATATGGTTATTACTACAAGTTCCTCCATTATATAGATGGTTAGTATAAACAAAATAGCATGGACTTACGGTAAAAACTTACCTAAATAGTTACAAAAATAGCACAGTTATTACACAGATGATTAGATGGTTATCATAGACATTTATGATTATCATAAACACCATAAACATCTAATGTCTATGATAGATATTGATAACCATTTGGTTTTATAGATTAAAACATTAACCATAGTTATTTATCATAGACATTTCTCATGTGGCTATAATAAAACCATGGTTATCTTACCATGTCCACTGCTAGGCTGTCCGAAAAATCCACCGGCGGGCCTTTTTTGAGGCCCACGCTCATGTGGGGCGGTGAGTACTACCGTGACATCGCAGGTGTTGCTCGACTTTGGGAGAATCATGGGATATCATGGGATATCATGGGATCATGGGATATCATGGGATATCATGGGGAACCATGGGTGAGGATTTATGGTGATTTATGGTGATAATCATTGGAGAATCATGGGATGTTTTTCTGATTTATATGATTTCTGGTGATCGAAAATCGAAGGGCTTTACTCTGTGGTGGAGAGGTTTGGAGCTAAGGGTATCGGGTATCGAAAGATTTCCTGGAGCGAGAGTTTTCCCACGTGATAGAAAATGCATGAACATGTGTGTGTGTGTGTTCTTAGTTTGTGATACTTGATTTTTTTTGATATACGTTTTGAAATATATGGAACTGTGTAAACAAGGAGATGTACATGATAGAACGACGATGGTTATATGCACCTATGTAAATATATATATATATTTACACTTAAGTATAATTTACATGAGTACTCTTCTTCAGGGCCTTGTCGATTGTGGGCCCAAACCGACCAAGTCCCAACATGGTTTTGTTCCCCCGACAACCGAAGCAATGGGGGCTGTGGTTGCCAACAAGGTGTCCAAGCAAGTGGTGCTAACCCATTTATAAAAATATGTATATCATATATATATATAACTGGGGTATAATATGGTATAACTGGAGTATAATGGCTGGGGTATAATATGGTATATGGCAAGATATCCACTTGTGGATGCACTCCCAGTGGCCACCTGTCACGTTGCCGAAGATCTCCGAAGATCTCCGAAGCCTAGGCACAGTACAACCAGAGTTTGTATGATCCCGTTGGTCGCACCCTGAGATGAGGATTTGTAGGATTTAAAATGTGTGAAGCATCTATGGAAATCAGTTGGCTATCAGTTTTACTTGTACATATACATTACATTACATACATACAAAGTGTATAGGTATATGTGTCACTATTTAAGAATGATTCTATATGATTATAAACTGAAGAGTTGTCATGTTTCCTTTCAGAGACTAGTTTTAAATGAAGAGGCAGCAGCTGGTGGTATTTTTTCTTCAAGCTGGTTGTGTTGCGGGGCTTGTACACATAGAATTGACACTGACTGTGGTTGTGTTAGTAGCCCTTTGAAGTGAAAGCAATTTGGCTCGTGTGGTATGTACATGTCATGTAATATAATATAATATAACATAATCTAATATGAGATGATACACTATATAATATCATATAGTATATTATAGTATAATATAGTATATTATAATATGATATAGTAAAATATAGTATAATATTGTATAATATATATATATATATTAATATATAATATATAATGTAAAATATATACACGTGCAAACATACCATATGCTATACATACACTTAAAGGTCGGTTAGGTTTTGCTACCAACTTGTACTGACACTACATGTCCTGCAATAATTGGTAAAGAAGAGATAACTATGATTACCATGAACAATCCCAAATTGCCGATCTGGAAATCATGTCAATTAGCCAATGTAGATGTTGTTTCTCAATCATCATGTTTTTTTTCGTCAATGGTGGTTTCAAATGACTGTTGAATTTCCATCCCTACTTAAGGCCGTTTACGCCGTCAATGATGGTTTATGGGAAATTTGCCCACAGTAACTTTGATTTCCCAGTGGCTCGCTCATGTTCTGGGCCAAACCAGCTGGAAATGCCAAAGGTGTCTCCATCTACCGGCATTGGATCTTTGTCAGCGAGGCTCTCATCAGTTCCAGGGCGCCATTAAATGCTGGCAGTGGCAACGGTCAAAAGTTGAATTCTATATCCATGTATATATATATACACATACTGGTTGGTGGTTTCAAACATTTTTTCTTTTCCATTTCATACATGGGATGACATCCTTCCCATTGACGAACTCCATCATTTTTCAAGATGGTTTTTTAACCACCAACCAGATATATATCGGGAGATGGGTGATATCGCTACGAAATTCTAAGGGATGGTGGGATGATAGCCATGTAATTTATTTGACGGCACATAGCCATGATTTCAATGGAGAGTTCAAGGTCATTTGTTTGGTGGATTTTGTGTGTACCTCTTCAGAGCTCAAAATGTATGTTCTGTGTTTTGTCCAACCTCAGTCTTTGAGTTTTAGTGCTTTGAATGCATTGAAATGCCCATTAAGTCATGAAGCCTTGGTTTCCAGTCCCAGTCCAAACAACATCTGGACAGCAGAAGTGGGCAGGCAGAGGGGAATGCCATCACAGTACTGACGACAAACTATATGCAGCACGATGAGTTGCTGTATGTGTGGAGCCCAGTTCAAAAGCTGATGGGAGCTAGGTCCAGCTTTTGATGAGAGATGATGATATCCACCAGATTCCAGAATCATACCTTGGGTACCCTTGCAAAAAGTATCAATCCCAACTTTTGTTGGTTTATCCCTTGGTAGATCTTGATGAGTCAAGCTCGTCATAGTTGCTTGAGGAATACCTTAGACCTAGCCAACATCGCAGCCCATTGTCAGCGCAAGGCCAAAGCTTTTGACCGTTCAATCCTGTCATTGTTGCTGCTCAACTCAGATCTTGACATGTCTTGGACATGTAATCAATGTAATCATTTCTTGTTTAGTACTGAATCTCACCGTTTTTCGGGGAAACACATAGTGCTGCATGGAATATTCCCATGGGATCCGCCAAAATAACCAAGACATGGGATGAGCCAATGCATGATAACCCCTCTTACATTTTACCAGTGCAGAAGAATCATCTAACCATCATATCATCATAAAAGATGTCAAACTTACATATTAGGCCTTTTGTGATATCTTTGTTTTCTAACATCTAAGATATTATCCTATAAGATATACTTCATGATATTTTATAACAATATCAATTTTATACAATTTCATATACCATCCGGTCATCAAACACGACAATGGACTACACATCATTTATTGTTGATTTTCCCAGCTATAAACATTTATATGTAGGGGAAGTTAAACTGCTATGTTTCATTACCAATGACAAATTTCATTCATCACCACCATGAATCACCATTAACCATGATTACTGCAACCGGTATCAATTATCAAGCGTTATTAACCAAAGGATATTATTCCACCATTATAAATCACCATTATAAGGCATTATAATAAGTATTAACTGTCACTATTAACCATTAACCATCATAGATAGAGATACTCATATTAATTATCACCATCCAGTATGGTTAAGGATATTCCATCAATCTGTTAACCATCATTAACCGGAGGGAATTAGCTATCACTAACCACCATTAACCATCATGAGCTGGAGGTATTAACCATCCTTAAGCATCATTGACCATCATGATAACTTATAACCACCATTTATATTAACCATGACTCGTAACCGATAATCATTAAGCATTATTAACCAGTATTAACTATCATTAATTACCATTATCAACCATTCATTAACCATCATTACCCTCTGGTAAACTAACATAACTATGGAAAATCACCATTTTTAATGGGTAAATCCATGTAAATCCATTATACATGTGCCATTTTCAATAGCACACTGTTAAATTACCAGAGAGTAACCGTCAATATCCATCATTCACCACTGGTTGGTGGTTTGGAACATTTTTTATTTTTCCATATGTTGGGAATGTCATCATCCCAACTGACGAACTCCATCATTTTTCAGAGGGGTAGGTACAACCAGATTATTGTTATATATATATATGATATGATTATAGATTTTAGAGGTCAAATCATCCACTTGGTAAAAATCATCCAGGCAGTAACCGTCAATAATCATCATTCACCATCTTGCTAGAGATATCCACATGGCCGGACCTCCAACTCGCAACCTCGTGCTGAGATCACTGAGCTCTACCCGGCACCCGGCGTGCAACTCACGGGCAGCTTCTCGACCACGTGCCTGGGCTGCAGAGATGGGGAATTCCGGTGATTTCTCGTGATTTCCCAGTGGTAAATGCTGGTTTCATGGTGATTTCATGGTGATTTCATGGTGATTTCATGATGATTTATGGTTACTTATGCTGGGATTTAGTGATGAACATCACCATTTACCATGAAACCAGCATAGTGACCATGAATGGTGATTTTCTGAGGATTTATAATTACTTGTTTATTGGGGCTCTACTGATGATTTTAAGGCGATTGAGTGGGACTTGATTTAATGGGGATGTATAACCAGCAATGGACATGCAACAAGAAATGTGGATGCACCCTCTGGTAAACTAACAGTTTGCGATGGAATTCACCAGTTAAACAAAAAAACGTAAATCCTCGAAGTAAATGGGACATCTAAACCACAGCCAACAACTCTTAGTTTAGTAGAGGGTATATGTATATATATATATATATAATTATATAATATTGATCTAGCTGTTTACCATACATATTGAGGATAGATATAGATATAAATACAAATGATAGACATATATGGAATTATATAGATATAATATAGTCATAGATATAGAATGATACTATATATATACATACAAAAAGAGTATATATAATAAATATATGTCTAGATGGATAGATAGGTCATGATACGTCGATATGATACAACGCATCTTGTATTTGTTTGTGATGACCATGACGGGATGGATGAGTCTTTTCTGCTCAGCACTGGCCAGGGAGCAGGGCTACTTGTGGTTTGCGTGCGCCATGGGGCCTTTCCGCATTGATGGGCTGGGAAATCCCCTAAAAGGAGGTTTTAGAGGGAAGACATGATCTATGAATGGGGGGTTTTCCATTGGATTCCATTGGCTTGTTTAATTACCGGAGGTTTACAAGTGGGAACATCACCCATAAATTGGAGATGTCTTAGAGACAAAGGGGATGGATCAAGATGATCATCCCAGCAGATCCTAGCATATCCGAGCTATTTTGGGCCGAAGGGTACTGATCAGGTTTAGGTGAAGGAATATAGCACGGAATAGGATTGTCCAACTTATAGCGATTAGATATCCCAGTTTTGTCCTTGTAATATCCCATCATTTTTGCGTCTGGATCTTTTGTTGGATCGGCTGACGTCCCTTGTAGGGGGCTAGTCGTTGGATCTTCGGTATCCACAGCTGCAATGCCTTCTTTGACAGCTAAACTGTGTGTCTCTATACCATGTTTTGATCCTTTCATATTTGCAATATCCATTTCATTTAAAGGTTTTCAACAATTCACAGATGAATATGATGAATCTTTGCAATATTCATGGAACTCAAAAATACCCGAGTTTCAACAAGAGACTCATCATCCAAAACCTCATGTTCCACTGAGATAGTTTCAGGTTTTTCGGGAAATCTCAGCCATCCGCGGACAGCGCTGGAGGTACATCAACCGACCCTCCACACATGGCTTAGCTAGCATCTATCTGCCTGAGTTCCTGCCTGAGATCTCACAGAAGTGGTTGGCATTTTATGGTGGCTGATCATCTCTGAATATGTCTGAAGTTTTCTATTAGTCAGATTATATAAGTATGTATGTTGGTATATAAGTCTGAATCATGTTTATTTTGTTTATGTTTATTAGTCATACTTCACCATAAATGATGTTTCAATGGTTTGTGTTTGTCTGTGTGTGTGTTGATCATGATTGATCCAATCTAAGATGTCTTTGGTAGATGCCTGAAATGAATAGAACATAATGGACACTATAAAAAAAACAATGAATTCCTTTGGGGTTTGAACATGGACCAAGTATAGTTTTCTTTGAGTATGAATATGCTGTGGAATAGCTGCGGCACTGCATCGATGATTACCCAGGAGATCACTATAATATGTCTATATCGGGGTTGCTTGTACTCACATTCTAGCTGCGTTTCAACATCTTCAGCGGGGAATACCAAAATTAATGTACCTTACTAGGTGTATTAATAAAGCAATCTAGTGAATCACGTTCAATCACCATGAAATTTCATGTGGGGTAAACCCGAAGCCATGTTTGCCATCCCCAGTAATGGTAGGTTTACCATTGGAATCACCATCTCGAGCCCCGGAGGCCCTTGGTCCGGTCGCCACCGGCGTCGTGGATCGAGGAGTAACGAAAATTTCAGCGTTCTGCGGGGGTTTTCACGCCCAGTTAGTAGGACGTTTTAAGAGGGAACATTTTGGAAAATGAGGTTCTAATATGTTCTAATCCATTTCTGAATTGGGGAAGAGATAGGAATATATACCCTTTAGATAAAGCCTTAAACAGAGCTGAAGCAACTTCTAAAAGTTGATGTTCTATGCCAAAATCTGCCAAGTACCCACTATGATTTTAAACATGCTTTTATTCTTGACATATTGTTCACGTTCCATCCAGGACATACCTAGGATTATCACAAAGGGATGGTTTCCAACAGGGAATCCCAATGGTCAGCCTGAAAAAGGCCCAGCAGCCCAGGGGGTGATATCAGCGAGTTGTGGCCAGAATTCGACACACTTTCAGAGGGTCAAAGTGTCAAGGCTCACAATTTTCATCCATTTTGGTGCAATCTTCAGCAGCACCAGAGTGGCAATTTCTAGGAGTTTCGCGCGCAGTGCACTAATGCCACCGTCTACAATCTCTTCATTATGGCAAACTCAACGTTGGGAGCCTCAGGAAAAGCGCGAAAGATGCGTGATATGGGTGGTTCCAACCATGGATATGGGTGGTTGCACCAAATATATACAGTAACCCAATCTTTGTTCAGGGCCATCGGCTCTCCTCACGGATTGATCGTATTTGAGGATAGCGAGAACAAGGTGCTTCCCCCTCAGTTGGTGGGTTTGGCTTCACCCAACAAATTCCAGTTACCAGTTGGCCTAGTTAAAGGCAAAGCTAAATAACGAGGCACCACCTTAAAGGTTCATCAGCACCAACTGGTGACCCCTTTGTGCCGTGTTGCCGCATCTGAGGATCTACGATGAGCACGTGTTGCAGGTGCTGAATGCTGCTCGCATCAACTGGCGCTTCCCCTACCTGTCACAAGCTCAGATCAGAAACCGTATGTCGGGATGGCCATTTGCGTGCTGAACATGGTGCATAAACATCAATGAATTACAATATTTATCCATATTTGGGGGAATAAACATCCATGAGTTAACCCGCTATTTTAAGGTACCTAGGGTGACAATACCTCCCACATTTTTTTTACCGGGGAACATGATGATCAATCAACCTTGGGGATACCTCATTTTCAGACAAACCTACTGACGCCCCCCCGACCCACATGTGGAGCCAAGGAGCCGGCCGAAGAGTTTCCAGTTTCCACATGATCGTAGAAGCAACAAGTTTCGGGTAATCAAGGTTCACTGACTCATGTTCTCTGATTTTTGTTCTGAGACATGTCCATGTGCGAAGGTGATTTTAGGCGCTGAAAGACTGGTCCATGAGAACTTGACGAACATGTTGACTGGTTGGTGGTTTGGAACACTTGTTATTTTCATAATATTATATATGGGATAATCCTTCCCATTGACGAACTCATATTTTTCAGTGGGGTAGGTCAACCACTAGTTGATGATTTGTCCATGATTGTTGATTCCAGCATATCACAGAAGATTTCCTCGTGGCGAATCATGGAATGGAATTTCCGGTCCGACGGATGGGCATCGTGGCCCAAACTTTGGGGGATGAACATCCATTTACCCTCTGCTAAACTGTCACATAGCTATGGAAAGATCCACCATGCTATTAATGGGTAAATCCACTATGTCTATGGCGATTTTCAATAGTTTTTTGTAGGTTTACAAGAGGGTATATCATAGTATATCCAGCCATTCTCCAGCTATACCGTAGGTATTTTGGGATTTTCGGGCGAAAAAACCCTGGGCACCAGCATTTTGAGCCGCTGTTCAGGCCTGGCTATTTGAGCAAGGATGCCTTCAACTTGACCCTCATGTCTGGGGGCTCAAAATGCCAATGGTCCGTCAGACTGGCTAAGCCAGTCTGGTCCGTCCACTCAGGAAAGCATACTCAGATGATCTTTATTTGACCAGTTGGATGTTTAATCCACTCAACTCAGATTGTCTTGATTTTACCCGGTTTTTGTGGATTAGAAACTTCGTAAAAACATGTGGGATAAGTGGGAGATGTAGTTGGGCCCTCCAAATGACTTGATGTTGGGCGGGGTTAATCCTGTGGCTCCAGCCGAAGGGTGGAACATGTCTTCCCAAAGCTGCGCTTAGGTCCTCCAATTGTGGATGGTAGTACACCCAAGAAGCCTTTCAATAAGCCAATAACAATCCAAAGATGCTGACTTCAGCAACCTGAATGCTGGAAATCTAATGGACATGTACAGCATGTACAGATCCAATTGTAGATAGTCATTTTCATTTCGGATTCTCCACTTTGAGTCCCTCGCATTGGTGCGGAGAAAACAGGGTTGGTGGTGCATGACCAAACATGTCCAAATTGCCTTGCTAGTGGTTGGCTCACATTTATACAACGATTCTGAATCTGAGATCGTTTATGCGGATGTCTGAAAATGGGGATAAACAGATACCCCAAACTTAGTCATAAGTTTATCACTAAAAATTGGTAAATAAACCAATGTTTTTTTATTTGTTTTTGTTCCAAAACAAAACCAATTGTCCCATCCCTAGAAATGGGAGGATGAAGCCTAAGTGATGGCAGCTGGCTTCAGGTTTGATTTGATGCTTTGGAACGAAACCGTCCTGGAGGGCAACATGTTGCTGGGCTTTGCCAAACTGGCTTTATATACGTTGAAGTGAAAAGATGCTGAAGATGGGATATTAAATGTACTGGTATGATTGCCATATGTGACGCGAACACACAAATGCATTCATTATGCGTGATTCTTGTTTTGATGGACGCGATACTCCCGACATAGGCATATCATGTCATCAATGGGAATTTCAGGATCCTAAAATGGTGGTACTGTACCATATAAGGCCATATTTTGTGGGGATATTCCCTTACATAGGCCTCAAAAATAGGCCTTATATATGGTAGGTACCTCCAATTTAGGTTCCTAGAATGGCCATTGGTGTCATGTCTCAACGGCCTTTCAATGTTTTTTCCCAAGCTGTTGCGGTTTGGTCCACTGGACCCAATTTCCGAGGTTCTACTGCCTGCCGCCACCGCCAGAAACGACTCCGTTTGGTCTCCGAGAACGGGTCGTTGGGCACGTCGGAATCTACATGCCCTTTGTGGAATGAAAAAACAATAATGAGGATTGTTAACCCGGGTATGTCAGAAAAATCGGGATCACTGCTTTTTTTGTTGTTCCAATATTTTGTTTGGTAATTCGGCCAGTGGCCAATGTGGTGATTTGTTGGGAGACCTTTAGTTTCGACTTTAGACCCACATGGGTACGGCTTCAAAATCTACGGAAAAAACCACCACAGTTGGTTTAGAAATGTTTAATTCTTAAACTCATCCCATCCCAGTATCGCCCTCCAGATGTTTTTTCCAGTCAGATTATTGTTTTCATTGCTACATCCACCATGGTGACATCAGGGGTAAAGCATCCCATTCGTCGCCGTGTACCCCTCATGACCGAACAACGGGGGAACATGGCCTCCAAACCAAGCCGTAGTCGTCCAATAACCTGCCTGGTGTCACTTTAGATCATTGGCCATGCAACAGGAACCGATCTAAATTGGAGGTACCTACTATATACTTTTGGCCTATTTTTGAGACCTAAATTTCAGGGAATATCCCCACGATTCATATGGCCACTTATATGGTACTAACGTACCTACATTTTAGGATCCTAAAAATCCCATTGATTAGATTCCATTGGTTCGTTGGCTGAACTAGTTTTTGCAAGCAATGTTTGATGGCTTCAAAGATTTCTATACATATCTATATATATATCATTTTCCTCTTGGGATGCGGAGCTAAGATTCTTCTAGGGGGTTGAAACCACCAGAAATAGCTTGAATTAATGTAATATGAATCACCAATAGTCAGACTTGGTGATTGACCGCATATCCATTAAAACCGACAATATCTCTATCCCATTATATATTTCATCATTTCCTTCATGATTCTAATACATATATATAATATGTATATTTATATATATAATATGTATGTATATATATATGTATATACACAGGATATAAGTATCCTTAAATCCACATTATGATATATCATAATCCCATAACATGGAGTATAATGGTTATATTAGTTCCATTATTTTTCATTACTGTATATCATATCCCATGTATCCCTTGAAAAAAAAGCATCTCCGGCATACACCACACCTCGACCAGGCCTATGTTGAGCGCCAACGAAGGCGGTTGGAACACACCTGGAGTCAGAATGCTCAGTGGTAGCCAGGTGACTGAAGAGAGTAACTGGAACCATTCACTTAAATGGTTTTAAATGGATAGGGAAGAACCTATGGATAGTGAAAAATTGTTAAGCTATTGGTTTTAAGCTATGTTTATTGTAAATATGGATTATGAACAACCTGTTTTCGGAAACCGATATGGACAGATAGTGAAACATAGTGAAACAATGTTTTAAGCTATTGCTATAAATGCAGATTCATTAAAAAAAAAAAATCAGCTTAATTAAGCTCTGTTGTATTGCTGGGTATCTAAGATTCTGGAATCATCCATTTTGTATGATATAGTTTCCTCTATTCTACTGATGCAATTTTGCCTAGTTTTACAATGTTTACCAGGGAATTGTCTACATGAATTAACATACTGTACCTGCACATGGGGTGGTATGCGCATTGGCTATGGTAAAAGATGAATGAGCATGGTGTGAAGTGAAGTGAAGGTTCATGAGAATCCCTCTTCTTTGGTATGTTGCAACACAAAACAGTTAAACTCTGTAAAAACAAAAACGCATAAGATAAGGATCCACGATCAATCAGATTTGATGTGATTCATGGCACAAACCAAATGAAATTGGTTCGATTCCCCATTGGACAAACATGGATAAACACGGGATTTCTGGATGGTTAAGGCTGATAGGCTGGTTGCAGTAGATCGGACATCAATGCCAAATACTAAACACTCTACATGTTCCATTTAATATACCCTCTGGTAAACTATCATAACTATGGATAATCACAATATTTTTAATGGGTAAATCCACTATTTCTATGGACATGTTCAATAGCAAACTGTTAAATTACCAGAGGGTACATATGATTGTTCCAGCTTTATGATTTGTTTTTTTTCTGGATTTTTTGGCCGTACTTGGACATGTGATGTTTTTTTGTTCAATCTTGCCCCTTACCCTCACACTGGATAGGCTCAGGGTTCTGGTCTCGGTGGATAGCACATGGATAGTTTGATGGTAAATATGATAGAAAATTGATAGAAACCACTACGTTTTATGTATGAAAATTATCAATAGAACATCATCAATAATCTATCGAAGAATTAGCTAGACATTATGATTGTTCATGATAAGGATGAATAGAGTATGGATGGAAACTAGATATAAAATTGATAGAACTTGGCTGAATGATGGAACTGATCACAACCCATGCCTTCAGGTTACAACATGATCTCTCTTGTACAGTAAATGAATTATATGTGGGATATCGATATCCATCATGAAATGATTGACCAAAGGCCTTCTTGCCCTACAATTCCAAACTCCCAGGTAGATCTCAAGTGGATTAATAGTGGAAGCTGCGGAAACTGTGGAAACTATACATACCTACGTAATCCAAAGTATGCTAAATTCATGCCTTTTCAAAGAAGGTAGTTCTTTCAGGGTCAGAGCGATAAATTTTGCTCTCGAGCAATTCTTGGGTTGCAGCCATTTTGGCTGTTTATATTGCACATTGGATGCAATGATATATTATGATAAGATGTAGCATCAGGTAACATGTCATAATGTATAAATAAGACATTATAACAGGTCATGACATGTCAGAATGATAATAATGTGAAACCTATAAGCATTCCAACGACAGGTTCCCCTTACCCAAAAACACAAGTCTTCCATTTTCCCTCGAACCAGCCATTCGCTGATTCGCTGCCCCAATCAGCACGCGTGGCACCATTTGGCGCCCATTGCCTCCCAGCAGTTGGAGGCGCAGCCGGCTTGTTGGTTGGGGGATCAGGGGGCTTAAACCATTCCATGGGAAACTTCTCCAAATGCAAAAGCATCAGGCAATTTTGGCCCAAGAAAAAAAAATGAAAAATTCTTTAGCTTAAATGGCTGAGCCTCGTCGTGGCGACATGCCTGGGGATCCCTCCCTGGCGGCCTTGTGGGAAATGGAGCCATCAATCCGAGTTGCATCTCGCGAGAGTGCTTGCCTCACGAAGTGGGCAAACACTCGGTTGATAGGAGTTGCTTCCACTGGAGCTATGAGTTTGAACATAAAGGTTCTAGAACTTTTGGCGGAGTGGTGGGCCAAGCAGGTTGACATGCCACAAGCCATTCCCATCGACAAACTTCGGGATCAGGTTGGTCAACAAAAATTGTTTGGTCCCAATTCAATTTTAGTGTTGGAAGGTAGTCCTGGCCCAATTCAATTTCAGTTTCGGAAGGTAATCCTGGTTAAAACTTAATGGAAATGGTGTTGGGGTTTGCCAACTCGCCCCTGAGGTGGTTGAATGGCGAACTCTGATGGGTTTCCCAACGGATCATGGGGCCATAGCTAGTGACTCGTGGGGTCTCAAGCGTCTTCTGAGTTATGGCTTAAGGCGCTGGCTTGCTGGAGCCCGGGCTCCTCGTGTTACTTGGCTATCTTTACATCCGGGTACTTGAACGCCAATTGACTATGATTAAATGTTTGGGGTCACAACCACAGAGTACACTGCCCTGCAAAAATTTTTACCTATGGGGAATATAGCATGCATACTACCAAATCATGATACCAATTGGTTCAAGGAAAGAACTGTTATTATTAAGTCTTTGGATAGATTTGTTCGATTGTCCAAACTATTCAGTCAGGATGTGAACCTTCAGGGTCTATGGAATGTCTTTCAGAGCTATTGGGGTTCCCCAGAAGACCACCCTCCAGCCGCCAACTTGGAGCAGCCACCTCCGCATGATGCTCCGCACCACCAATTTGACCATCGGCCTGGTTCCAGCTCTGACTCACAGGGCTCTCATGATCATGTGGACCCGGGTGCACCCTCAGCGGGATCTGGTGATCATGTTGCATCCCCAGCGAATTCTGGGGAATCCGAAACCCCCTTTTCTATGTATGATGTGGTTGATTTGGATGACATTGATGGTGTGTCCATTGATGGTGAGGAGGCTGGGATCGACATGGGTACCCCAGTGTCCGGTGGCATGCCAACTGCCCAAACTTTGGCCCCTACCTCATCTCACACCCCGAGCGCTGTTGGCAACCTCGATCCTGCCAGCATTGCGCAGCGCAAGCAGGAGTTGGCGGCAAAGATCGCTGAGTTGAGGTGGGCATTTTGGTAAAATCTATAACAAACATATTCACCTCCAACCTTTGGGAGATATTAATTGGGATATGAACCATAATCAGGATATCCAATAATAATGAATTCTTTTGCCCTAAATGTATTGTTATCCACCATGCGCTCATGCCCCATGCCCCTGAGATTGGTGATGGAAGCACTTGACACTCCGAGGTCAAATAGTTTCTTGGTCGTACTACTGTTGAAGGAAAAGTGGCATCCAGGGATAAATCCTGAATGGGGAAACTCCATAATCTTCAATGGGAAAGATCCATAAAAGTGGGAACTTCATAAAATTGGATCATTGAAACTCCATAAAATTGTTAACCCTAAACATCACAGCGGGATGTGTCCATCAAGTCCACTCTATGTCAAAATTTAGACCTGTGTGCCATGTCTAGCCCAGGCTTTGGTACTCACACTTCGCCTGACAACATGCAGACCGTGCCAATGAATCCTGATCAGATTGAGGGATCCACTTTGTTTGCAGCGGAAAGCATCCATGAAATTGTTGACATCCCTGATGATGATGAAGATTCTGGGCCTACTAAGGCTAGTGGGCTCCAACCTTCACTTTTGGAAAATATCCTGTGTAAAAACAACTAATGATGGGAAGATGTGTTCATAGATAACCCATCTTTGGGAAAGACTTTATTGGTTTGCAATAGAAATTATAGATAGCAAATTTTCTGAAAGATCATCATGGATTACAATAGCTATCAACTATTTATAGATAACAAACCTTTCAGAGCGACTATTATAAGAAGTTAAGATAACTGTCAATTGTGGTGGTGTTTAATCTTTGTTGCCAGGAGGACCATCTTCCCGCTGGCGACCTGCCTGCCCCGGTGGAGAATGCTCCTGAGGAAGGCGTGAGTCCCATGGTGGGGGCTGCCATTCTGAATGCCGGGGGTGACCACGTGGAGATTGCTCCTAAGAATGGCATGATTCCTATGGATTTGGGGGGGGCTCCCACTACCACTACAGGTGCGGGGGACCAGGACAAGAATGCCATGGTTGACTTGGAGGATGACCATATGGACAAGACCCCAACGATTGAACCGACTCCCATAGCAAATGTGCTCCAGACTCCCATGACCAAAGAGATGACCAATGGAGATGATCAGGTGGACCAGCCTGGTGAATCTACTGATGAGATGCTTCGTGCCCCTACACGGAGGCTTGATTCCTTTGCCGAACCTGCTGATGATGGTGCTGATGTGGCCTCTGACATGGCTACCTGTGATTCTGAGGACGCCAGAAAGTTGCTATCCTTGCAGCAGCCCGAGAAGCCCTTGCAACGAAGGGACCAGCTTGGCAGTGATTTTCGGGCAACTCGCCAACGCAAAGCCAAGGCGAAGGGCAAGGCAAAAGCCAAGGCGAAGGGCAAGGCAAAAGCCAAGCCCAGCCCAAAGTCCAAGGCAAGTCAGGCCAAGACAAAGGCCAAAGCGAAAGCCAAATCCAGCCCCAAGAGCAAGGCAAAGAAATCCAACTCTGGAAAGGAGAAGCAAGAGACAAAGGCGGAGAACAAGTCCAAAGACAAGGAAGCCAAACGTTCAAAGAAGGACAAGCCAGAGAAGGGTGGCGATCCTGATGAGGTTGGGTGCAAAAAGAGGGCCAAAGGTGTAGGGACGTTTGCCGGCCGGTACCCGCCGTCTGACGGGGTTATGCGCCTTCGCTTTGACGCCATGAAGGACATCTTCCAAAGCAGGATTGGGCATTTGCTTGCTCGACAAAGTTCATTCCAGGACAAAGGTTGGGATAATGGGGGTGGTGCTTACAAAACCATTTGGAAAAGACACCAAAACATGAATCATGTTACTATGTTACCAATGTTTTGTTTGTGATAGTTGTGATTTCTTTCAAGTTTGGGAGGATTCTTTCTTCAAGCAGTGCACGCAAGCA